GGCCGGGACAAGAACAACCAAGGAACGATTACGGCCGGCGACGCTGAAACCAGACAGCCACTCGCCGATTGCCGTTACAGTCCCTGGGAGAAGTAAAGCCGCGGCACGGATTTCATCGGTATGTCGAATTCAGCCCGAGCCTAACAGCATTGAACCACGCATGATGACTTCACTCTTGGATTTCTCCGCTGCCGCACTTTTGGATTCTGGGGCCGCTATGTCGCTTATAGGGGATTTCGTTTTCAAGCTCGGCGAAGCAAAAAAGATAAGCCGCCGGGAGTGCGAAACCCGTTTGCAGCTAGCTTCTGGTACAACGATAACAGCTGGAGGAGCTGTGAGGCTGCACACTTGGTTTAATGGAAAGAAGTGGCTTCAGTGATTTATTTATATGCCAGGGCATGTGGTACCCGTGATCTTGGGCCGAGATTTCATTACAGGCGAAAGCATGACACTTGAATTTTCCGGTGGCGGATACCGGCTGGGACAACCGGAGCTTACTTTGTTTACTAGACGGGAGGACTGCATCCGTAAACCGCCCACTGCAGCCCACTTTACCATGGTACCGGACGTCTTGCCTGCTGGCGTTCGAGAATCGTTGCGAAAGGGCCCGTAAACAGCCAGCCGAAGCAGCAGCCGACCTGCAGTCTTTCTCACCGATGTTCACGGAAACGCCTGGAAAGACTTACATCCTGCTGCACCGCATTGAAACCGGTGACGCGCCGCCTCGGAGGGGCAACCCTCGACCGATCAACGTCCACGAAAGGGCACTCCTAGCGGCGCTTGAGGAGATGATCGCCACCAGTTTAGTACGTGAGTCGAAGAGCCCTTGGGCGTTTCCCGTTGTCCTCTCTCCGAAAAAAAGACGGAACAGCCGGACTTCGTGTGGATTACAGGCGGATTAACGATGTGTCTGTATGAGACAGCTACCCTTTCCCCAGCGTTTCCTCCGTGATGAACGCGCTCTGTAACGCAACCGTGTTTACAACGCTGGATTGCTGTCGCGGGTTTATTCAGATCGAAATTCACCCATCAGACGTTCCAAAAACTGCTTTCATCTGCCACAGAGGGTTTTTTGAGTTCACTCGACTGCCGTTTGTCTTGTCTAACTCTCCAGCCAGTTTTAAACGCCTGATGGATGTTGTAATTGGGAACTCAAAGTACGAATTTGCCATGGCATACATGGATGACGTGGTTGTTTTCTCGAGAACTATCGAGGAGCATGTCAAACACCTTTGCATCGTACATGAACGAATGCGTAATGCTGGGGTCACGATTCATCCCGGAAGAGTTCATTTGGCCGCGCCCAAGATTAACCTCCTTGGATTCGTTGTGGATAACGGCACGCTCTGCCCCAGCGAAAAGATGTTGCGCGCGCTAACGGAATACCCGAGCACAAATGACGTAAAGAGCCTACAAAGATACCTAGAAATGATTGCGTTCTACCGTGATTTCTTTCCACACTGTTCCGAAATATTCCAACCGCTCAATTACCTTCTAAAAAAAGACGTCGGGTGATGGTGTTATGCCGAACAACAGCAATGCGAATTTATAGCCCTTTCAAAAGCCGTGTCTGACAACGCTTGTTTAGAGCTCCCAGTCTTGAACAAGCCATTCGTTTTGCAGACAGGTGCAAGCGACTGTGACCTGGGTGTTGTCTTTGTGCAGGAGTATGACGGTGTGCTTCGTCCAGTTACTTTCACGAGCCACACGCTAACTCCAGCCAAGCGCAACTACAGTGTCGCAGAACGTGAATGTCTCGCCATTATTCACGCTTTGAAGCGCTCCAACATGTGCCTAAATGGCGCAACGTTTCAGATTCAATCTGATCACTTAGCGCTCTCATGGCTCAGGGGACTTCAAAATCCGGTTGGACATCTTGCTTGTTGGGCGCTTACGCTACAACAGCATGGCTACTCCGTTGTGTACCGCCCGGGGTAAACTAACAAGGTTGCTGATGCGCTCTCTCGTGCTCCACTCGCCGAGGAACACCCGCAAAATACCCATGGCTTGGTGATCATTCGGGCCACGGCACGAGGATCCCCAGATTCACGGTGGGGTACATTGGTGAGCCGCAAGGAGCTTCGCAAGACGCCGCCGGATGACGGACTCTGCCAACACTTGTCCGCTAGGCTGGCAGGAAGATGTCCAGCCGACCGCCCAAGTGACAAGGAGTTCAACTCCTACTTGATGAGCGACGACGGCATCCTGCTGTGCTGCATCCCCCAGGCCGACGACGATCCGGATGGCTCTGCGTTTCGGACCGTGATACCACGCAAGCTACGTAAGCTTTTCATCCGATACATACATGACTCTGCCTTGGCAGGACACAGCAGTGGGAGCAAAACTGATGAAAATTTATCCCAAATCGCTACTTGGCCAGGCATGAGGCAGGATCTGCTCCGACACGCTCGTAGCTGCTTGGAGTGCCAGAAGGCTCCAAGCAGCCACGTGCGATCAGCCCCCCCCCCCCCCCCCCCCCCTTCCGTCTTATGCAACCAATCGTGAGCCCCAGCTCTTGGCAGATTTGTTGCTGTGACGTCATGGGCCCCTTCCCACGTAATCCCCGTGGCCGTCAGTACTCGTTCGTTGCAATCGACCACTTCACGAAGTAGGTTGAGTTATTCTCTTTGCGGAAGCTAGATTCGCAAAACATTTGGAAAAACCTGCTTGAAACATTCGCTAGGTTTGGCTTTCCAGCACACCTTGTAAGCGATAATGCCTCCTACAGAACGAGTAAGGTGTTCGTGGATTCTTGCGCGGTGCTGAGAATTAAGCACAAAAAAACTTCCCCATACCACCCACACACAAATATCGCGGAGAGGGTAAATCGGAACCTTACGATGATGTTAGTGGCCTACACCGAGCGCCACCAGGACTGGGACGCGAAACTGCCCCGGCTGGCATTCGCAACCCGTACGAATACTAATTGGTCGACAGGTCTCACTCCTGCCCAATTGAATTTCGGCAAGGAGCTCGCGTTCCCGCTTTTTAACAGTCTCCTTTCTACAGAGTCTGGGGGAAGGCTTCGCTCCTACGTGAAGTTCGCAGAGGACCTGCGAAAGCGCTTCTCCGATAACCTTCGAGAGGCCCGAGAAAATCTCGACGTCGCCCGAGTCCAGCAGGCAGAACAGTACAACCAGGGGCGACGTGACTTGCAGTTCGAGGTGAGAGATTTTGTACCCCAGAGTGCTCACCCACTGAGTGAAGCCGCTCGAGACTTCGCAGCCTCCCTTGCAAACAGCTGGGAAGGTCCGTTTCGCGTGCGTGAAAAGTGCTTACCACTAACTTACAACCTACTTCGCCGTGAGTCTGGTGAAGAAACCGGACCTGTTCATGTCACCGATCTTGAACGATTTTTCAAACAGAAGACAAAGATTTCTCGCAGGACCGGAGCGACACTGACGGCAGTCCCGTTTCGGAAACTCCCTTGTTTTCACCAAGGCGGCGATATAACCTGCGACGTCGGTGACACCAAAGAGAGAGGAATCCCTTTTTCTTTTTTTGTCTCCTCGGCTTCGTCTCTCTTGCACTTTGGGGGTAGCTACCTACTTCCACGGATATGCCCCCTTTTCAAAAGAGGGGCGAGAAGATTGTGTGCGCATCTCAGATATGTTATTTCGAACTTTCTCGAAGGGTGCGAAAATAACGTCAAGCTCAACTCTCAACTAAGGCCCTATGTCGTCTGCTTCCTTGTTTCTCTAGAAAGATGGCTTGTTGATGACACCGTCATCAAACCCGTCATCGAAACGACATGGTGGCCGGGCTCGTGGTGGACCGGGACACCAAGGACGTTGGCAAGTCAGGGACGACCCGTACAGGACAAAGCGGCAGCTGGCTCAGATCAAGGAGGATTACGTGGAGAGCAGCCGCCTGCTAGAGATGATCCAGAGAAACAGGGTGCCCGCCAGCGGAGCCCTGAGCCAGAACAAGGAGCTCAAGCGACAGCTGGAGGAGATGGAGGACGTCTTTGACAAGCTGAAGCTGACCGAACAGCTGCAGAAAGAGCAGCATGTGACCAAGGAGCTGGGGAGAGAGCGTACGCCGAACGCATCGCGCGCTTCCACCAACGTGGCGAGCGCGACCTCCAACGAGCCATCGCGCTCGTCCAGCGGCGCCGACCGGACTTGCAACGTCAGTCTACGTTCAGTCCGCCCAGCAGCGCCATCCACCCCCTGACGCCCGCAACATCTCCGTCAACGACATGCCGGACGATATTTGAAGGGGGGGGGGGGGGGGGGGGGGGGTGCACCCTGGCGGCTCCCCAGCCCAGTTGCTTGACTGCGGGGCAGAGCTGGCGAACTTTCCCGCGTGGCGGCGGAATCAAGTCGGCCATGCGCACATCACGTGCTCCGCCTTGATAAGGCGGATCAGAGGCGGCGCACAGGGAGTCGCTGCATGGACTCAGGCGCCGCTGGTAACAATGTTAATCGTCTTGTTCATGCCCAATTAAATTCAGTTTCTTGTTGCTGAAACCGTTGGCTCCGTGTTATTCCTCCGGGTCGGGTATCCAGTAAGGCAAACCCGCCACTTTTTTTTTTTTTTTTTTCTAATAGGAGCGCTATGCTAGCGGTGGCTGAAGAACTGCTTTATGGTGAAGCGCTCAGCGGAAAGGCCCCAACTGGTATGGCCACTCCTCAAGGCCGAAATCGTGGTTGGGGAAGGAACAACGTAACAAATTTGTCTCTCACAACCTCCTTCTGCTACGGTGCAAAGATGACGGCTGAAATGACCAGTTATCGGGTGGTTAGCTATTGAGATAGTGGATAGGGCAATATGGTAATAATGTAAAAAAGTGGAATTAAAGTGCTAAACAAAAGTGGAACTTAGTCGCAGCTTACCAAGTGTATAAAATGGGGATATTGAACGTTTTTGGAGTGGTACACAAATTCATGCATTTGTGACATAAAATGCTGGTTGGTATAATTTTATATCCAGACTTAAACTAATAAGTAATAACCCAAAAATTTTTTTAATTAATTTATATTAAAATGAATCCTCACTTCTTTTCGTCGAAGGGTAGCATCCTTCTTCGTTTTCTCAGACCGATCCCAGAGGTGAACCACTGAAGGATTGCGTGCCCAAAGCAGAGTGCGAAATGCTGAAATCCTGCGCTGGACAAATATAAATTTACGATCAGGTTGCGTTTGTTTTCAGCATACCCCAGAATGTCAGACCTACCGGAAAGCAATAATAGAGAAAGAAAACAAAAAAGCAAGTGGTGACTGCGAAGAGAGTTCCACCTTTAAAGGAGCGATTGCAACAATTTTAACCTTAAAATATTTTGCAGTTTTATAGTTTTACATTGTTTGCTTTACCAAAAAAAATGAAGAAACTGCCTTATACTTTTGAAATATCGTGATTCCGTTGCGTAATATCCAAGAAAAGAACAGGAATATCTTGCGATTTGCGACCGCGGTGTAGCGGCCATGGGAACTAAAAAATAAAAAATAAAAAAACTGAAAAAAAAAACGTTCTCTTTTTTTGAGTCTTACCCCGTTGTGCTCGCCCTCTGCACATCTGTCAGGCCAACGTTCGAGGTCGACATGTGAATCGCACTCACAAGCAGAGGCCGCGCGCCCTGGAGGCTCGAAAGGAAACCCAACATTATAGTCCTTATCCCCATCGCGCGTCAATGTGAACGCGACTCGGAAGAAAGTGTAAAGCGCAGACGGCATATCGCGTTTTTCGTCGCGATTCAGGCGCGTCGGTGTCAAACTGACTTCATTTCCTGCGCGCGGGCGCGCGTTTTCGCGGGAGCGTTGGTTTCTAGCCGACCCAGAACAAGACGCACGCGCCGAGGCGTCGAAACAACTCTCGCCCAAAGAGGGTCGGTCTATCACGTTATTTTGCACACTACGCTGTTTCGTATTCAGCGCATTTCAAAGTGTTCAGAAGCATTTTTATTTTCCATATAAAAATTGAAAAGATTTTTCTTTTGACACACAAACCCGTTTTATTTACTTATTTGTTAATTTCGTTCCCATCTTGTAGTTTTCGCGTCAACATTTACATCGCGTGTTGAGAATTCTGTTATCTGGCAACGCTGATAACCGCGCGGCCGGCGGTGCTTGGCTTTGTCTGCGTGCGGGTGCCCCCGCGTCAGCTTCCGCGCGAGCGTTTATAGCGCGTCACGTTTTCGCGTGTAGAAAAACACGCCATGAGGTGATTTCAAGGCCCCTAAAACGTCAATTGTTTGAACTCTTTCCCAAGGACCTAACGCGCAAAGTTATTTTTTTTTTTCAGACGTTTTAGTGAACAACTGCCACAATTATTTGCCGAAGTCCAAACATTGTTGCACGGCCCCTTTAAGAACAACGCCGGCTAATCAATGCACAATGTAGATGATTCTAGCCAAAAGGCACACGAGCAAAAGCAGTCAGACATTTCGATCTTTTGTTACCATAGGGCCACGAGCTGGGTCATTCACCAGTGAACGGCGTTGGCCGTTGGCAGCTTGGTGGCGGAACACCTCGAAGGTTGTCAACCTTAAAAGTATCTTCGGTTTCTGAATTCAATTTTGTTTCTTTTTCTTTTTTGACGTCTTTTCCTTCCTTTGTTCTGACGTGAGTTGAGTGTAGATGATAGGCGTATTGTTCCTGTTGACAGTTAAATAAATCCAGCTTCTCTTGAGGCTTTGTGTTGTGTTTGTCAGTTTTTCTTTATTTTTTTTTTTTTTTGCGTTACACCGTTTTGAGCATGTTCGTTCCAAACCAGCTGGCATGCATTCTTTTACTTCCTTCTGGTTTGCTTTTTTTCATGTACTCTAGAGTTTATCAAAAGTTATATCAACACAATTTAGACGTTGGATTTGAGGATGACTAAATTAGTCACCAAATGTATCTCAGATAGTATATAAGTTGGAACCAAAAGTCAAGGAAAAGGCTCCAGCGATAGCGGTCATACCAGAATGCAACGACCAGAGTATAAACGAATTTTGGGTGACGAAAATGCGCGACGGCTTTTGTAAATTGTCATCCGATTGGTGGAGGCGAGCGAAGTACCTGCGGCGTTTTACAAAACGCGAAGTTTAAAATATTTTAGTTTCAATTCTCAGAAAAAAAAAAAAAAAAAACAAGTGTATATTCGTTGCCAGAAATATTTTCTAGAACTAATGTAATGGCCTATTGGCCATTACATTAGTTCTAGACATGTTTTGATGGCGCCACCTCGCGGGCGCCCTCCTGTGACACAACTGGTAGGATGCAAGCAAATGACGCTCTATGTCAAAGCACGAAGTGGCTATGCTAGTTTGCATCTATGCCGCTTAAAGACGGTTTATTTAATAAAGAAAGGCGTACAGCGTTTTTGTGGGTGATCTTTCTAATGAATAACAGGCGCCTCCAAACTGATTTTTTATATATAAAAACAAGTTCAAATGTTAAAAAACATCCACGTGGCAGTGGCGGATCCAAGGGGGGGGCGGTGGGGGCGATCGCCCCCCCCCCCCCCCCAAACGCCTCGCCATTTTTTTTTTTTTTTTTGTGGAGCCATTGCTTTTTCCATTTTTTGTCTTTTTGCTCGCTTTTGAAGCACATCCCTTGGTGCGCCAAAAAGTGTGGCGGCAACGCGAAGGGAGTGACGCTGTTGCTTCACTTTCAAGAGCATTCGTAGTGTTACTTATGCGCCATGAAGCCCCTGTTGTCTTTCTTTTGTACGTTTTGATCCTCCTAGACACCGAGAGGAAAATATGACTCAGGAACAACCAGGAAACTGGTACATTATTGACACACGCGTCAATGCCACATTGTCGCGTTTTGTCTCGCGCGTATCCCGTTACGTGAATAATTATTTCCGTAAAAAAAAGCACTCTGAACACTCAAATTTGGTTTGTATGAAGCTAATAAAACTTAGGAATGAAATTAAATTATACCTTGGTAGAAAGTCTGTGCCAACCGGGGCGTACTTCTCGAAGCGATATCTCGCGCGGAATTATGCCCCTCTTTGACGGGCGGTAAACTCGGCAATCTCAAATCGGCATTTCTTTTTCTCCGGAAAGGACTTGCCAAAGGCAGTCATTTATGGCTCACGCAAAGGGAACAGGCTAAGGCACGTCTCAGTGAAGCTTGAGACTTGTGTCTAGGTAATAGCTGGCACTAAACAAAAACTTTCGTTGGGTGCCTTCACTCCAACTGTCGCATTTTGCCCCGCGTCTCATTTGGCCCATCTTACCCTACTTCACTTTGGACAAATGCAATCTATTAGTTTTGGAGCTTCCCCCACACGAGTGTTCGTGCGGTCGAGGTGTTTTTTGACATATCAGTAGTAGTAACCAGGCATTGTGCGCAGCTTTTATCGTCGCCCAGCATGCTCGGGCTCACAAGCGCTTAGCTTCGAAAGCATACACTGTAAAAAGTAACCGTCAAATTTACGGCGCTATACGCTAATAAAAACTACAAGTACGCCGTGAAGAGGAATTATCTGAAATGCACCGTAAACGAGCAAAAAAAACCGAGAGGGAAACGCAAAACTTCATGGAGCAAGAAAACAGAAAGAAAAGACGCGCTTCGCTAATTGGTCACCACGCTTGACCTTTCGGAAGCTGCGGGAACCCAGAGAGTCTCCTCTCGCCCCTTCACCTCCTTTCTTGGTCCGCGCCAGCCGCGCCAACGCAGAGCGTAACTGCCTTAACTGAAAAAGGAAAAAAAAAAAGAGAACTAAGAGCGAACAGTAGAGCAACAATGCGAATAGCTAGAAGCATAAACAAAAGAAAGGAACGTTGGTTGGGACAACGCGGAAAGAAGTGGAAAAAGCTGACGTTCAGTTCATTTTCCCGCCTTCCCACCCGTCTCCGCGCCATTTTGTCCTCGTTCGTTTGTGGCATTCCCGGATTTTTGTGCACCTGAAAATTTGGAGCGGAAGGCAACTGGATACTCGAGGCAGGTATTTCACTATCAATCTGCTGCTTGATTGGCAAGGATAGTGTAATGGTGGCATAAATACAACACTCTAAAAGATGTTTACTTGCAGAATTTGTAGTTTCTGTTCAAGCACGCTTGATGGTTGTGCAATTCGATGAGCACGTTTTCAGCTCTCGAATTCTTCAGTGTGCACGTGGACGAAGGATGCTGTCGCCAGTTTGTTACGTATGATGCTCTCAGGTGTCATATTTTGAGAAGACATAGGCATTGGTACGCCTAAGGGAAGTTTGGTTTGTTTCGACGAGTTTGGAAAGCTTTCAGTGCACTTTGCCACCATGCCTAGAGGAGTGCCACACAAGGGAGGCTTTGCTAAAAGCCTCCCTTGTGTGGCCACATCTAAAGGCCACATCACCGACAGTATTCTGTTTTCGTGTTCGTGCTCCAACTGTCAGAAGGTGTGAAATCATAGTTCGATCACGGCACATTTGAACTGGGCGCATTTACGAGTGACGGGTTTCTTGGGCGACGGCGCATCGCCTGCAGGCCCGCTTCAGGTTGAGGACTCTTCGACTCGGTCGACTAGTGCGGATTCTAATGAAGACGGTGCTGTTAACGTGATGCAATCCCCTAATGATAACTACGACGTGTTAATGTCTCTGTCTGCAGGAGAAAAAAGGAAGGCCGTAAAATACGACCTTGTTTTTTTTTTTTTGTACCTGAAGTTCAACGGAACGCTTCTTATGCCGGTATCAATAGTTCAAAAAACCATTTATGAATTTCAACGTCGGCATTTCATGTACAAACAATACATGTTCGGCCAACTTGCTGAAAGCCTTCAAAACGTGCTTGGTTCAGTCGAGGTTCATAACATCACTATACAATGATGTTATGAACCTGAATACTACCACCTTTCTCGCCGTTTAAATTGCACCGTAAAAATAACGGCGCGCTGTAAATTTTTTTTTTTACCGCAAATTTGAAGGCCGACCGTAGATTTCTACGGTCCCCGTTTAAATTTATCGTAAACCAGATTTACAGTGCACCGTTATTTTTACTGTACAAGTTTGGCAGCATCAAAAAAGTCAAATTGGACGTTTGAGTGATTTATACAGCGTAAGGTTGGTCTGCCAGTAGGGGCGACACTGGTTTACACTGTAGATGAGCAATTTAGCCAGTGCAGTACAGCAGGCAGCTGATGCTTGGCAGCATCAGCTGCCTGGTATTTGAC